TGAAATCACTGCACCCCTGAAAATTTCTCTGTATACAGAGCAGTTTTCATCACGCTGGCTATGCCAACACCTCTCTGGTTTGGGCACAAAGCATTTTCACCCCTACAGGAAGCACTTGCTCCTTGTAGCAGCCTTAGTCACCTAGCCAATTCGAGGCATACAAATAAGAGGCAAATTGATGTCTCCTCTTTTCAGGACATAGCCACAGAGAGGACCCTGGATCTCTCTCCCTTATTCTCTCCCATCCAACCATTGCCACTGCAATACTCTCTTGACAGGCAGAATCTCCTAAATGTCTGTGAAAGGGGCTTGAGTTCAGAGTCACAGTCAAAAACTTGGTAGCAACCCCATTTATATGCCTCCCTCTGTGTATGTAGGATGATCTCACATCAGAGATGCACACGCAGCTGGTGCGAGTCAAGAGACCCCACTGAGTTCACCAAAGCGCTCAGGTGAGAACCAGGAATCAGTTTCTGCATGTCTGTGCCACAGATGGTGTGTGACAGGTAGCAATCAGGTGACACAGGCACAGCATGGATCTCTGAGCAAACACTAACCACACAGTGTCTTTGCATCTCCCACCTCACACCTGAAATACAGACTTCTGCCTGCCTTCACCTAGACACAGGCTTAATCCTGCTGCGTTTCACGTCACAGCCCTGAGTGCAGCCCCTCAAACCACAGCTCGGGCCGAGACATGGACAGGGAACTGTGAGCTCAGTACAAGAGGACAGGGTGCTCTCCCTGGCTTTTAAGAACCAAAAAGGCAAAGGAGAATGTGGGGACAGCCTTGAGGGAGGCTTCTGGCCTGGCTTCCCTCACTCTGCACACAGCAGAGTGTCCACAAGCCACATAAAAAGGGCTTGGAAGACAGGGGTAGTCAAATCCTAGCCAGCTAAGGATTTGTCTTTGTCCAACAGTACGCTCAGAGTTGCGTACAGATAATGTACAGAGGGCTACAGATCCTCCCCCTGGCTACCTCCACAACATGAACTCCATTATCTTGTTTTATGGGAAAGGATACCACAAACACCCTGTCTCTGGGAGCCATCCTCGTCCAAGTCCTGACAGCACATCTGAAACGCACAGCTGCCCTCTGACACCGGGAAACTGTCCTCATCTCAGTTAGCCCCTCTGCCCTCTGGCCCACACAGGACAGAGAAAAGAAGTAATCATATAGCACTGGTGCCAGGAG